TCCTGTTGCTGGTGCTGGTGCTCCTGCTTTTGGTGGTGCTCCTGTTGGTGGTGCTCCTCCTGGTGGTGCTCCTGTTGGTGGTGCTCCTCCTGGTGGTGCTCCTGCTGGCGGTGCTCCTGCTGGAGGTGCTCCTGCTGGAGCTGATCCTGCTTTTGGTGCTGCTGGTGCTGAAAGCACCATTGTAGCAAGAATCAACTAGAATAAAATAATAGATCAAATAAAATTTAAATGTAGAAATATTACCATTGATAATATAACAAGTGATTTCATATTGGTTGATACTGACGATTCGCTTGTTGTTAACAATGATGTTTTCGTCTGAATAAAAGTATCACCTTTTTATACGTTTTGAATTGAATCAGAGAATAATATTTCGCTCGTGATTTCACTACCCACATATTTATGCTTGAATGTACTTTCTTTCTCCATGTGACATATTAAATTAATGTTTTCAGGTCATGCTTTTTATTCTTATTTATTTTCATATAGTTATTTCATAGGTAATAACTAGGTGTAGTCGATTTATTTTTTTCGGTTACCAACAAATATTAAACATATGGCGATTAAATATTTATTGATACAAAAAAACCGAATCATTCATGACAAAATTGCAATATTTTATTCGTTATTTTCAATCCAGGTAATTTTTTTCTTTTGTGTGACAATATACACAAAAATAAACTCTGTATGCAGCACCATGAGGTGAATGCATGTGAAGTAGAGCAGGCATGACATCTGAAGAAAAAAATAGCACCCATGTAAGTGCAGATGTAAATACTTCTATAATTATAGTATAACACAATTGGTATTTACTCAAGAGAGATTAAATCAAATTTTTCTTCATCGATTCAATGCATAGTTTTATATTTTAAAAAATTATTAGATGAAATCAAAAGTGATAAATATGGAAAATGTACAAGCATCAATCTTCTGCAATAATCGAGAATTATTTATTATTACCAAGTAAACTTATTTAAATTTTTTTCTCAAGCTCAATAGATTAGTTTTGAATTTAGATCTATAGAATTATTTTCTACACATATATCATAATTTCTCAGTATCATCGCTTTGTATTGTCGAATTCGAATTTGAATATGTCAAAATCTAAGAAATTTTGACCTTTATTCGAATTCAAATCAAATAATTACTCAAAAAACGATTTTCAATAATCTTTCTATTGACATAAGTAATGCAAATTACTCAATTATACGATGTCAATTCACCGAGTTATAGCATGAAAATGGTGACGTATTAATTGTATTTTATAAAAGCATAATAAACAAATACTGTTTACATATCAACAGTATCTAAATTCGTCGATGAATTCACAAAACACATACGAAAAATGTTCAATAGTACCGGTCAACTGTATTGAAATACTTGAATGATATTATATCAACATGCGGGTTACAACTTTTCTTATGAGATAATGATTTAGTTGAATATTTCGTTTACAAATATGACATTCTGAATTATTTTTCATCAAAAATAGTGAATCATGGTGAATATAATCAGAATATTCTATCAGTAGTATTGAAATATGAAAATAAGACCTTTCGACAACATACATTTGATTATTAACATATATAAAATATCTTAACTTAATACTAAATTTATAAAAAAAAATATAGACTATGCGTTACAATTGCGCATATATAAAAAAATTCATTTAAATAAAAAGTGATCAGTTTACAAACATTTCTATCACTTCTTTTCTTGGGCTTCCAATAAAATGATTGCATTTCACATTTATTAAAAATTATATTATATCAGCACTTTTATGTTGATTAATTATAAAAATTGGAAAACGTATATAAGGCTAACGCAATCCAAGATAATATCAAAATTAATCTACGCTTCAATCTTCTGTGTGCTGTTTCTTATTAACGTTTATAAATTTCATGAAGCATCTATTGGTGTATTAGAACGACATCTATTTTTTTAATTTTCTCTCTGATATGACGATTCTCCAATAAAGAAAGAAAAAACATTAGTCATGAGTATGAAACATTCATATACGACTATTTATTGTTATCATAGAATTAATCATTGTCATTCATTCGCACAAGATTATTAAATATTATTTGACAAAATGAGTAGTAACAATAAAGGTAGTGCTTTATCACGTATGTTCGGTGGTTCAAAAGGTGGTAAACCAAAAACAGCTCAAACTCCACAAGAAGCAATTCAACAGTTACGTGATGTGGAAGATGTTCTTAATAAAAAGGTCGAACATTTAGAAGCAAAAATCAACGAAGAAACAGCTATAGCTCGTCGTGATGCACGAACAAATAAACGAAATGCTTTGAATGCACTTAAAAGAAAAAAACGTTTAGAAAAAAGTTTACAACAAATCGATGGTACATTAACAACGCTTGAATATCAACGTGAAGCGTTACAAGTAAATTTCTTTTATTCTTAATAATAAAAAAATTAGAATTCTATTTGATTTCTTTTTAGAATGCAGCTATGAATGGTCAAGCATTTAGTGCGCTTCAAGGTGCTACAAGTGCATTAAAAAATGTTCATAAAGAACTTGATATTGATAGTGTACAAGATATAATGGATGAATTAGCTGAACAACATGAATTATCGAATGAAATTGCAAGTGCTATATCAAGTCCAGTTGGTTTCGGTGCTGATATTGATGAACGAGAATTAGAAGATGAATTAGCAGCATTGGAACAAGAAGCACTTTCAGATCAAATGACTCGTGTTGATTTACCAACAGTTCCAGCTCATTCAATTCCAGCTTATGCACAACCAGCAGCGAAAGTATCAAGCAAAGCAAAGAATGATGAATTAGCTGAATTAGAAAAATGGGCATCATAATTGATAATATACTATTCTATGTGTTGTCCTGTTTTATTTTTTGTTGTGTGTATATGTATTAAGACAAGCATTCTTTTTTTTTTCTCTCTTATATAACCGAAATAAAATATACATTTTTCAATTTCATCATATTGTCATAGATTTAAAAATTAGCGAATTAAATATCTCCTGTACGGTGCGAGTTGAGATACTATATTGCAGCCAGATCATTGTTTAGAAGACTAAAATTCCAATTAACACAATCGTACCTGTTAGTAGGATCGTTTCTTTGAAACTTGACTTTATCCGCTCTAAGAATTCAGGCAAAGTTTTCTTCTGTTCTATGACTGTTGTTTTGTGGTGCATCTTCAACAGAGTCTATCTTATCGAATGTTTTTACTAGCTGAGAGATTATTAGACGAACTGGATTTTTTCTTCTTCAAGAAATTCATTTCTAAAAGTCACATGTAATGTTTCTACCTTTTTTTTCTATTCACTGTTGTTTGGTGATAAACAAAAATTCTTTGTTCTTATCTTAGAAATTTTAGCATATATAAATACCGAAAAGAAACAAAACACACGTGTATAAAGACCATAGATGAATTTAACGAGCATTATCAAAAAAAAAAGATTTATATTATGCGAAGTGTCAGTATGGATTGTAATAGAAGAGAAAGTAGAAAATACCGAAATTACCAGTGCCTCAACATTCACTCTTCTGAATTAAAGATCTAGCAATTATTTCGTATCATAAAATGTGTAATCAATTTATTATATAACTTCAAGTTTAATGTACAGAAAAATATATTAAATTAAAATGAAAAAAGAGCAATGCAAATACTAATTAATACCATGCTTATTGTCATTGTTGATGCACTGGATTTACAAAAAACATTTGCACAATCATCAAAATTAACTTCAAATTGATTGTCGTCTTCTACACCTTTAACACCTAAATAAACAAATTCTACATCTGCATTTGGTTTATCAAGCACTAATTCTGATTCATCATCTACTACTGGGGCATTTTTTGTAGCTGTTGAACGTTTTGGTTTATAGGTTAAGAAATCCGCTGGATCTTTTGGATTACGGCTTTTAAATGAAAAAAATATTTTAACTTTTCCATTGAATAATTTAATTTTAATCATAAATTTGTTTCCAACTTTGATAATTTTAATTTTCAAAAATTTATATTTATCTTTGCCACATTCGCCAGTCACAGTTGTATTTTCTGGAATAGGAGCTGGTTCTGAGCATACTTTGGATGTAAACTGAGCTATTTTTTGATCGAGTGCTGCATAATTAGACATTGGAAAATAGTTTTCGTAAGCCGGTGGTGTACAAGCAGCAGTTAATTCAACAAGATCAAGACTATTACCAATACCAACAGTAACTATATGAATACCATTGTCTTTGAGAACAGCTGCAGCATTAATTGTTGCTGTTTGATCATCACTTTGTCCATCTGTAATAAGAAATATAAGTGGTTGAGCACCTTCTCCTTCTGGCCGAAGACCATTTGCAGGTGAGAAAACAGTATTAGCTTGTTGAAGTGCTCCAGCTGTGTTTGTACTACCACCGATGAAGTTAGCTTTATTAACTTGTTGAATTTTCTGACGCAATTCATATTCTTTATTTAAATTTGTTAATGTTTGAACGTTAGTGGAATAATTTATAATACCAACATGAGTTTTATTTTCTCCAACATTCACTTTACTCAATAAATCTCTTACAAATGTTAATTGTAATTGGAAATTACTAGAACCTACACTACCACTAGAATCCATAACAATGCCTAAATCCAATTTAAGTTCCTGAGAACATGTATCCAAACAACATATAACATGTGGAGGACTATTTGGGCATTGCTCTCCTTTTCCACCACTACAACCACAATATTCACCTCCATCTTCTAATCCTTGTATGCAATCAGGTGTACACGTACCTTTATGTGTAGTATTATATTGACAAATCGGACCTTGACCAGGATACAATTCACCACCACCACATTGTGAATTATTAAGAAATTTTGCATATCGTAAAGTTGCATCTGATAGTTTATCTATACCACCAGTTAAATTATACCTTTTCAAGAATATATAATTAGAAATAAATAATAAAATCAAATAAAACTTACCATAACATCGAGAAACCATAAAATGTACCATCAGCATATTGTGTTAAAGCTGGTCCTAAAAATAAAGTGAAAAAATTATAGATAGTCGAGGATATAATTAGCGATTAATATTAAGTTGAATTTCTAAAATTTAATAGGATTCTAAATTTACCAGTTAAGAAATTTGGTGTTTTCCAGCGTTGACCAGCAATTTGAGCTGAAATATTGATTAATGCTGCTAATTGTGGATTAGCTAGAATTGCATACTGTGGCATTAATGCTGCCAATTGTGTGTATTGTGTTCGTCCTCGAATACCAAAGAAACCTCGTTGACGAAATAGTGATCCATCACCTGGCTGAAAATTTCCATAACTTGTATCATCGACAGCAAACTGACCATCGGTGCCTTGTAATTCATCGATTTGAAAATCATTGGTCATTGTAGCAGCTACAGCTAAAAAGGCAGCTTTTGCTTGACAATTTGAACAAATACCTGCCAGATTCATGCCAGCGTTCAAAGCTACTCGAAGCCATGGAGCACGTGGTGTTGGATATAAAGCAGCGAAATCCTTTTCAGTAATACAAGTCGTTGCAGTGGATGTTAATGTTTGAGAAATACAACAAGTTCCTCCTTCACAAGATCTTCCATCTAATAGTGATCCTCCACAAGCATCAGGCGATAAACATTCTCCAGTCATTGTGGTATCATATTTTCCATAACATGTTTGGCCATAAGTGATGTACAAAGGACAAATGGCAAGAATAAGTAATAAGATTTTCATGATTGAAATAAGAAATAATAATGTTTAATGTGCATTTATTCTACTGGTTTATATACACGAGTTCTTATCAATTTAGAGAGATTAGTTACATATTTACCAAACATAATTTTATTATTTAGACATATGATGTATCACGCGCTTTAGACCTGCTGATATTGAAGTGCAGGGTTTATTTATGATTATATTTTTGTCACATTATCTTTTAGTTTTATGACATCAATAAAAAGAAAGAGAAAGTAATAGCTTGTTACGTAGGTTTTATGCAATTACAGTATTAGTCGAAAAAAACCCTTATGAAATATCGTTTGTGAAGTATTATTAACCGTTTAGTCTGTTTGATTCTTTCTGCAAATTAAATGTGATGATCGTAAGACTATTAGAACTCATCGAATTGAATTATGATATACTATTGTGATATTAAAAATTTATCTATACATAAATATTGAATTTTATACAATTGAGTTACTAAACATAATACTTTTACTTTACTTTAAATGTTAAAATAATATATCTAATCAGAGAAATATGTTCCATGACTTTTAACTTTTTATCAGATAATTAAAATTAGCAAGAAAATATATAAAATGCAAATAATAAATATATATCTAGGCAGAGTAAAGAACGAGTGGATTATATGATATCATAAAATCATCATTATTAAATATATGTGCTCTAGAATTGGTTCTTGCATTATATTTTATGTACATATATAAAACACAAAAGCCACTAGAATGACTTTGTTCGTCCAGCTTCAGCTGTGCAAACTAATAAATTCTAATTCTTTCAATCTATTGATCAATAATAATAAAAACTGTAAATAGCACTTGAAGTTATAAATATTTATTCTATTTGAATACCATTTTCTATTGAGTGAAATTCTTATCAAGTAAATATCTACAAGCCGTCTAGTAGCTTTTAACAAAATGAGTCTAATGGATATAGAATTTTGGCATCTTTCTTGCAGCATCACTTGTAGTTAAAGTTTCCTGTATATATGATATGTCTTCCGATAAAGATTAAACATACTGCAGCTAAGACCGTTAAGAGAAAATCTCTGGCATCCATCAGATAGACTCGAAAAGTGAAACAAAAGAGTATTTTTAGCATTAACCTTTTCATCAAAGTAACATATTTTAGTGAGATAAAATATTTGGTCTCAATATTATACGTATATAAGGGAAAACAAGTATTCGGTTTTTTGGAGGTACAAACGAAAGAAAAGAAATCATCTATTTAGTATACATGAGATTTTTTGTAATCAGCAGAATAGACAATGCCGATTACGAACGAATTTTTTTTTCTCTATAAAACTCCATCGAGATGCTATAAAATACCGACTCTTTCGCACACAACATCAAATAAAAATATACAGATAAGCTATCATAAACTGTTTGCGTGGAGACCATATTGTGTGTTGACATATTTTTTATTATAACAGAATTGTTTTATATAATACAAGATGGCTGCAACTATGATAACAAGTATATCATAAGACCAGTCTATCACTGTAAAAATAAAAAAAACAAAAAAAATTAATTGGTAGGAAAAGAAAATATAAAAGATTAGATTTTTACAAAGTTCTGATTTTTTAGTTTGAATGTGATACATTAGATAGCTTCCAACGAGTTTTAGAAGACAAGTATAGATGTCGTATTTATAATCATCTGATATTCTCATCCTTATGACAACTTGCATCAATATCATCTCTGTAAATTCTCGTCAAACGAAGCTTTATACACGAAACCTTGCTATAAGTTCCACCATGGAGAAGAATCTATTTCATTCAAAAAAAAAATATCATCTTCTCACTCGATAATCATATTATCTAATGCAACTTAAAAATAATATTCATAATATCATGTGGTGTCTCATTCATCAATGTTTATCTACCTGATAAAAATAACACATTTTTCACATATCTGTAACAACAACAATAACATGTGTTTACATGGTGTGGGTGTAGATTTTTGTCAATATTTAGTTTGCTTTTTATTTTTCACCTACACTCTTTCTTTCCAAGCATTTATTAAACTTCTCGATGATGGGTGAATGTGAGTGTCAGTACTTGTATGATGAAGAACTTTAAATTGTCAGACAATATAAAATTACGTATTTTTGCTTCAATAAATGAAACAAAATTAACCATTATACGATTACTACTTATCACAGAATTCATTGTTTAATATTCTAAAACATGAACATAAAAAGGGAAACTAATCATTCTTTTTCTTTATCTTCATATAAAATTCTTCCTATCTTAGATGTATTTTTACCATCAATATAAATAGAAATTACTTCAATAGTGTATAATCATGACCAAAACCTAGTTCAAAATTTTCTTCTCTTTTTAAATCATTATATTCGAATTTAATAAGAACAAGACACTCTTCAATAATATACTCAGATAAAATCAACTAAAAGTACAATAATATAATCAGAGTTATGTCCTGTGTATGTCTGATGATGTATGTTTTTCTCTCCGTCCTCAATCACGCTCAAGCTTGTGATACATTCATTGACCTCTCGTTGACCCGAATAGATTCTGATACATCTAAATATCAATAAATCTTGAATTATTTTATAATTAATTGACGGCATTCAATGATATAATCAAATTACAAATATCACTATATTGTGCCATAACTTATTTTTCTGTATAATATACACAAAAACGCCTTGCTGTTTAATATGAATTCTTTAAATAATAATAGACGAACATAAAAAAAAAGTCGATATTTGGATTTTTCGCTGAAAACGTGTCAATGTGGTTGATTCTTTAGCTCGTTCTGTCTTATTTTTTTTTCTTCGTTTCTGTTTATCAAGTCTGTCGTTTAACAAAACTCGTCATATTACTCATTCTTTTTACTTTTGCGTCGTATAGACGTTTGTTAAAATGTTTTTCTTATGAAGCTACCGACTTACATTGGTTATTTTCCCGGTTACTTCATAGACTTTGAATTCCATTAGTTTGTTATACGATAAAATTATACGACTATTTTTATTAGAATATCGTCGAAATGTCGACGCGTCGTGACAAAACTTCACAACAACCAGACAAGGAAGTAAATAATGTAAGTATAACTTTTATTGAAACGTTGTTTTCTAATCTTTGCTACGTGATGCAACTCAATTGCATTCATCCATATTAGTACTCTTGACGTCATGAAATAAAAGAAGTCCTTCGTTCGATCTTCCTGTATAATTCGTTCAACAATATATTTAAATATTCTCTATTTCTAATAATTAGGACAAGCAACGAGTACGAACTCCAGCGAATGAAAGAGATGATCATTCACCATCAGGAGATAGACTAATTATAGATCAAGGTTCTGACGAAGATTGCGATGCAGCAAACAATCGAGGTACTTATATCTGTTAAGTCATATGATTAAAAAATACATTATGGTGTATAGTTTTATTGATATAAAAAAATTTCATAATAAAAAAATGAATTTTTCTTTAAATTTCAGAACAATCTGAGGAACCCAATCGATCCAGTGCGTCACTATATCCAAAAATACCGTTCAGAAAATGTTCGAATTGTGGCGCATCAAATATGCATAATGAGAATGCAGATCAAACTGGTGAGACATTGCAAGAACACCATGACAATGCTTCAACTATTCTACAAACACATATTCCAGCTTCTAATGAGCTTCCTACTTCATCAACGTCACAAAATATGTCTCAAACAAATTTCAATAAAGGACAGTCATCAGTGAATGAAAATGCTCCTAGATCGATCGATTCTGAATCAATACCATCGATTAGTACAAAAACTTCCATTACACACAACAAACCACCACCTGTAAAAATAAGAAGATCGATTATTTCTATAGTAGAATTCGATACAGCTTCACAGGATGATTCCTCAACAGCAAATGAAATCGGTATGTATCGTAATAGCATGAAATCTGCTTATTATACTGAATGACATGACATACAAATATCTAACATCATATAATTTTAGAATTGAGCAAGCCATCACTCGCATCAGTGGCGGAAGTACGCGATGGAGAAGAAGATAATAATACAACTGACAATTCGGGAAGCCCCATTGGAGCCATTCAACCTAGAAGAAAAAATCAATCCTCATCTACTCATTACTCACATGACGACATCAAACAAAATGATTCACATCCACCTATGTTCGCTACTCAATCAAATAATGAATTATCAAGTGAAGATGAAGCCTATATTGCCTATATACCTCATTTACCTTCTAATGAAGTTACAGATCAGGAACTTGAGACGATAATTCGGCATACATTAGATCGCCAATATAAATTACACGTGATCGATATTAAATGTAATAGTCAATTCGATGTTGGTGTTATGTATCTAAAAAATAAAGAAGATAAAGATAAATTAGTAAATACTATTTGTCAAACATCAATTACATTAAACTCAGATGAAACAATATCATTTACTAATGAATTCGAATTAGATGTCTATGTGGTTGTGACATCCAAAGATAATAGTGATCTTCCACGTAGCAAACATGTGCGTCAACAATGGATGCAGATCTATAATGGTAACTCCCCATTGAAATGTAAACGATTATCGAGTCAATTCCCAAATATATTTAAAATAATAATAGATAAAGTTGAAGAATTATTTACAATTACATCTGTAAAAGAGTTCCAAATCGAACATCAAACAGCCATCGTTTATTATCACGCAGATTGTTGTTTTTTCGATACTGTACCACAACATATTACGGAGAAGGACTTATACGCGGCAATATTTAAAGAAATATCTCCAGTTAATCGATCAAAAACACGTATTCATGTTTCTTTGGATATACAAGAAGGCAGTGCTGTTGCATTGATATGTAATTCATCTGTAAGATGTACTTCAATAAATTTGGATGGAAAAGTATTTAAAAGGAAAGATCGTCTTTCATATTTTCTTCGACTACATTCAGTACCTTCGCATATACTACCAACACATATCGAAGCTCAAGAGATTTTTAATGGTACTATTATCAAAATTGAACC